AAGTCGTGCGATGGTTTACTATCTAAAATCATAGCCCGACGGCCTGAACCATTAGCAATGGGTCTTCAAAATCATTGGTTGTATAAATTGTGGTCAGGGGCAATACTGAGTTTCTGGCGTGTCCTCTGAGTTTCCTGAGCTGGTATGCACATGTCCCATCTTGAAAAAGAAGGGCAGAAGTGGGAAACAACAAAACTTTCAATTTGGACGAACATCTGAAAAAGTTGGATATACCCAGAAGTATGCTCATGAAAAGTACTGTGGACCCGATGAAATGGTTTCATGCATCTGGCCGTTTCAGTTTGCATCTTGAGTTCTGGGATGTTGACATATATCGGCCACTTGCTCATGACTTTGTCGTCAAACGACCATAGCTGCCAGATGAAACCAAAATCCCTCATCATTGATGGTGATATGGTTTTAGCCTGAATGGATTAACTGGATTCTTACAGTCTTATAGCCCCATTTGTTTTCCTCTCCCCTATTTGGGTTCCGAAAATGAACATAACATCTACCTGAACCAGAATCTCTGGGAGATTGAGAATCCCTTCTCCCAAATATTGCATAACGCCCCTCAACGCACCTTTTTATATAGAAGTAGTATGAAGTAGTATTGTATGGATCTTCTCATTCCGGGTTCCTTAGTTGTTTTTTTTGGGTGGGAAGGTATCAATTACAGTATGTGGGAAATTAAAGCAACCCCTTTTGACCTCACCATAGATGATCTAAGATGGTTAGTATAGGGGTAATTATCCTCAAATGTTTCGCTACGAAAATGATCTACAAATGGTGGGTTTTCCACATGTCAACGATTCAGGGGAAACGATTCCTCCTACTTAGATCCCTGCCACAGGTGGCCAGAAAGCTGTCCTCCGCCCATGGCATTTGCTCGCGCGTGACTGGGACGGGTTTGAGCAGCATCGATCCCTGTCTGGTTGGTTGATTCAAAGATCTTGCATGTGCCATTCCCAAACACAGCAGGATGATGATGATGATGATGAGGAGGAGGAGGAGGATGTCGATGATGATGATGATGATGAGGAGGAGGAGGAGGAGGATGTCGATGATGATGATGAGGATGAGGAGGAGGAGGAGGACGAGGAGGGGGAGGATGTCGATGATGATGATGATGATGATCATGATGAGGAGGAGGAGGAGGGGGAGGATGTCGATGATGATGATGATGAAGATGAAGATGATGATGAGGAGGAGGAGGAGTAGGGGGAGGATGTCGCTGATGATGATGATGAGGAGGAGGAGGAGGAGGAGAATGTCGATGATGATGATGATGATGAGGATGAGGATGAGGATGAGGATGAGCAGGAGGAGGAGGAGGAGGAGGGGGAGGATGTCGATGATGATGATGATGATGATGGTGATGATGGTGATGATGGTGATGATGATGATGAGGAGGAGGAGGAGGAGGGGGAGGATGTCGATGATGATGATGATGATGATGATGATGATGATGATGATGCTGATGCTGCTGATGATGATGATGATGACGACTTCATAACACAAACCGGACGATATGGAGCCAATAAAATTTGGAATCTGCAACCGCAGTGGTACAGCCTCAACAAGTGTTTTAACCTGCACATTCTCGAGCCATGAGGCTCAAATAATTCTAGGTTTCTGTCGATATAGCCCCTGGGATCTCACAGCCCCACAGAATTTACCCAAGAAAAAATCTCCAAAATCGAGGCAAATCTTAGGACATCTCCACATAGCTATGACCCAAATCCCTTGGCCCCTTGGCCCCTATAATTGTACGGCTTTATGCCAACAAAACACAGGAAACTATTGTGGATGGAAGAAATCCCCAGTTCATAGGTGGTAAACATCCCATTTAAGGTTTCAACGATCCAAGGTGCTGGACTTCTTCCATCTACAGTAAGTACACGATCCAACTACAGTCTCATCTCATCCGATGTTCTCAGGTTTGTGGCCCTACTGTGGTCCACCGTGGGTCCCACTGAGAAGTGGTTGCAGCTGCTAGGAACCTTGCTCAGCTCAGAACAGACACCGCACGTTGGCAACGAAGCTGAGGAGGGGCTGATGACCCATGTTGGGTCAGATGTTTGATCTTTTCCAGCTGTGAGGGCCGTTGCCGTTGCTCATGGTTGCTCCAACATTGCAGCATTTTGGGGCAAGCGTGTTAAGAGCCTTGGATGTTCCTTAATCATCCTCAATCCATTTTAGGTGCAACATATATAGTTAGGAAAACTGCCTCGTGCGCACGGGATTCAAGTTCACAGTTTAACAAAGTATGTACATATTATAAATATATACATATGGTCACCCCCCCCATGATCTACCTAGAAACATCTTATCTGGAAATTACGTTGTTTTTTTGCATATAAAGCATAACCGGAAAAAACAATAACTTGCATTGCATGTATATATATATATACACATACATATGTATACATATTTATATATATATATAAATATGTAAGTATATGTATATATTCCGAATCTATTCCAAAACTATGCCAGATAAGTTATTGAATCCAAATAACATGATAAATAAGTTGTGGATATATCCAATTTTATCTCTACTCAATTCCAAATAAGTTGTTGACCCCACAAGCATTAATTTCCCATCCCTGCCAGGGGCCAAACAACTGGTTTCCTTCCCAGGAGCCCTGTCATACGTGGCTGGTGCAACTCATTGCTGGTCAACGGCAGAACTGGATGGTGCCCTGTTTGGGCGATGGCCGTGGCGTTAGCAGTTTCAAACCCCCAAAGGTTGCATCGTTTTAAGGAATAAGTAAACGGATTGAAAGCGGCACGCGATGTTTATGATGATCGTCTTTTTTTGGGATCCAACTGTGCAAACTTTTTCCAAGGTCTCTGAAAACAAACTTGAAATTCGGCACTTTATTGGATTTCTGCTACCAGTATCAGCAGATTTGTCTAGGCATTTCCGCCATTTTGGGGCAGTTGTTTCGAAAGAGACGATTTTTGGATATTCTTGGGCTTTTGCCAAAAAGTGTGCCCAGAATTTTCACAAAATTGATTTGGGTTTCTCAGGTGATTCTCCCCCTTTGTGTGTCCCAGTTCCACAGATCCTTCCTGAACCGACCATTCCCAGATACCAGTGGTGAGTGAATATTAAGGATTTTCAACTTCCCATATGAAACCAGTATTTTACTTACACAGATTCTGGTGAAGAATGCTGGTTTCATAATCCGTCCCCAATTTGTGAGAATTTATGTAGGTTATATTAGGTTATGGATGGTTATGGTATTTTGCGTCGCTCAATGGTCCCTCAGTAAGTTATAGTCTATAGTTATCCCATGATTTTGGGGTACTGTCCCCTTTCCAGTCGTGGTTCAACCGTGCGACCCCAGTGAGGTGTCGGATGTGGTGGACCGTGAGGCTGAGATCTTGGCCCTGGAGGAGAAAGCCATAGATGCTTTGAAGGAGGCTGAGGATGGAGGTGACGTGGCTCAGGTGGTGCCATGTTCCAAGGCTTTTGGAAATCCCATGGTTTGAAGCATGTTTAAGCTGTTTGAACAAAGAAAAAGGTGTAGGAAATCCACGTGCTTTTGATTTCCAATGTAGAACATGCTAATTCCAGTTTGCTGGAAGAGTAAACAGCGGTAGGAACACCGTGGAAAAGCTTGAAGATGTAGGAAACATGGGGGAAGAACCCGATGGAAAGCTTCGAATAGATTTCACTTTCACCTTTGAACTTGGAAAATTCGTTGGGGCACGACCGAATTGAGCGTAGCCGACCAGGTTCCAGGAACCCAAAATGTCTGAGACATTTTTTTTCACGTGCAAACAACAAATGGTGCGGGTACCAACGTGTGACAAGATGTTAGGACTATACCAGTAGATACTAGTAGTATGTTTTTTGATATGTATCCCAATTAAAAAATGTGTATTATTGTATGTTATACTATATTTACACACGGTATAGGTACAGCCGATCAAACAAACATAGCCAACAATGAAAGGAGGTATTACAAAGGGAAACTTGGATAACCGGATATGTGAACAGTCTACAGGATCTAAAATCAATGAGATATCTAAGGCCCACAACGAACCGGGAGTTGAAAGCTAACAGTGGCCCAGTGTGTCCAAAACCTTACAGCAAATCCATGCATAAACTGGGACCATCGTCCATTTTGGTACACACCTAGTCAGTCTACCATTTTACTATCATAATCCATCATCCAGTTCGTGTTGGCTATCGTGGTTCATACGAGACCTTTCTGGTCGTATGACACTATCCCCATTTTGTTGGTTACATTGCCACCAATCCTGTTGGTTCAAACTGTGCAAAATGAGGTTTGTTTGGAAATGGGATTAAATAGGCTACCCCATTCCATCCAGTGGTATTCCAGTGGTTAATCATATTGTTTCCATCTAAATTGTTTGTTTGAGGAGCAGCTACAGCTACCCAACTTCATACAAATCCTAAATTATATAAATATGGTTATGTTATGTATCCCATTATATCCCCAAAAATCAGCCCATAAATAAAGTTCTTGCTTTGCTGGTCCAGTCATCACAATTCATTGGTCAATTCATTGGTGACCACACAAAATACCGGGGGTTTCCGTTTTGTCATTGGGTACCCCCAGTTCTCATCCAGTTCCACTTCGGCGGTATTTCCATGAAATAAACCAACCAGCGATAAAGGGGTACCCCCAGAAAGATGGTTTTAGCTCCATTCCTCCATTTTTTTCGCCGTTTGTGAGGTCATTCCACATTTTCAGATGAGCTGCGACGACTCTCCACGCTCTCCTCTGAACCTTGGGAAAAACAATGGAAAAACAAACTGTTGCCTCGATGGGGTGATCTAACAGCTAGCAGAATCCCCCAATTCCACTTGGAAAATATGGCAAAAATATGGCAAAAATATGGGAAAATCTGGGAAAAAGCAATATCTGTAAATGAATACCAATGGATGATAGTGGAATATCATGGATACAGCTGGGGCACTTTCCATTACTATGAATAAGGTAACGAATTAGATTATGAGGGCTATATAGCTGGTTGAATGGGGATAATCCGCGAAATGGGCAGACCCAGCAATAAGTCATGCCCATTATGTGCCGTGGTCAAAACTTGGAATATCATCGCATATCACGGGGTGGTCATCAATGCATGTTCATGGGGATTTAGATTAACCTGTTCTGAGGAATCACTAGTGACGATGCGATGACCATAATCCATATACCTGATCCGTTCTGAAAAATCGAGGGGTACTGGTTCACCCAAGGCGATCATTTTTCGCGCAGAGGGCACCTTTTTGCGTCTATCCTCAAGTTTTTTGACGTGGTAAAGCCAATGCGACAAAAATACCCTCTGGTAATTCAACATAACTATGGAAAATCACAATTTTTCATGGGAAAACTCACTATAAATAGTGATTTTCCATAGTTATGTTAAATTACCAGAGGGTAACGTGCCTCCCACAAAAAGAATGGTGGAAGTTGGAATGCCATAGGCCCTGCCAATCCGTGGGTTCATGATGGGATGTCTTGGGACAGCAAGGCTGTGTCTGCAGTTGAGAGTATGGCAGAACGTCGATCTTCCTTGGCGGCAGCTAGGTAGCAAGAGAGCCACCAGAGGTTGGTGTTTTGATGTTCCATCCAGGTACGATGAGGCAAGTCAGCCAGTCGTGTACAGTGTACAAAGCCATTTGTTGGTAGTTTTTCGCATGTGCGAATATTTTTCATAAGCACCATTTCGCGATACAGGTCCCCAGGTTCAAATTTCGGAAGATATGGCCACGTGGGCGCTGTGTATGTCAGGAAGATGTGGAAAGAGCCATCCTTGCCGAAAAGGACGACATGACGACAGGGTTGAGTTTTCACCATGGAATGATCCCCCCAGACTCAGTTGTTTCCTAAGGCTTGTATTCCTGTAAAAAAGTGTGATGTACTGGGAGGGGATCCATTTACGATAGTATAGTGTAGTGTAGGTGTGTAGATTATATTGTATTATATTATATAATATATAATGCAACAATGTGGTCTCCTTCCGATGATTCCCTGTGATTCACAAGACAGCAAGATACATGATAGAGAAGTGAAGATGATGTAGCGGGTCCCCTCCATTTTTACGACTTTTGCACAGTTCAGAGACATTTCGACCAGCCACCTGTAGCAATTTCACAGATCAGCAGGGTCGTCAGGGGAATCTCTGTGGTTAGGCGGCGTCATCGCTCGCGATGCCGGCACCCCAATTTTGATGCCAAAGCGAAAAAAAAAACATCTACCCTCTGCTAATCAAACATGGCTGGCTGGAAAATACATGAAAATAGCCTGGTCAAATGGTCCAATGGGAAAGTCGTCGAACATGTTTGATTACGATGGCATCAGTGTTTCCATCTTCAGGAGCAAGATGAACTCTACGAGAAGACAGTGGCATCAGTGGCTACTTCTGCCAAAGCGTTAGCCAACTCGTTGAGTTCAGGCGGGGCTCCTGGGAGATTGGCAGTTTGGTTAGGACAGGATCAATGATGATCTATGTTCTTCATCGGCGTTTAGAGTGGCTGCGGTTGGTTCATACAGAATCATACAGAATCATCATTACGATTCTAGATGTCTTCTGAACTGATGCATGCTCTTGTAGAAAAGACCTTGACAGGGGGTGTGTTTCAGATGTGTGCTATCGTGAGTACATGTTGGCGGAAGCAGTTTGGACGGATGCAGGGGTTAAGTAATCCCATAGGATTGCACCACAAGAGGTTTCAGATCAAGATGCACTTCTGGACCAAAACTGGATGGTGATTCTCTGCTCCACTTGCAGAATGTTTCTGATTGGTGGTTTGGAACATTTTTTATTTTTGAATATATTGGGAATAATCATCCCAACTGACTTTCATATTTTTCAGAGGGGTTGAACCACCAGGTTTTATTGTTCCTGCTGTTGATGTTTGAGTCTCCACCAAAAACATGAACCACCATGGCCATCCAGAACCCGCCCATGAAAATCCCGAGCCACTCGAGTCTTCCAACGCTGCAGATGCGGTGCATGAGAATGGTGTGTCGGAACGGGCGCAGCTCTGCTCCAAGAGCGATTGCATCAAGGCTGTGTGGGCTTTGGCCGCCTGGGATTTGTTTGACACCCAGCTGAAACATTTTTTTCTGACAAATATTTTCCGTGTATATCGTTTATCCACTCTTCTTTGACAGATGTTGGTGTGATCTATCCAGTTTGACTCATGATTTTGACATATTTTGGCTATTGCATACTTGTAGATTCTGTACCAACTAACGAAATAGCCAACTAAAGTAACTAAACAGTGGATTCGACAGCTATCCAGTGGGGGGATTTGCCCATGGCTTAACCCCGTCACCCACCGGCCAGGAGCGTTTGTCGGAGCTGACACCGGATATGGAGCGCTTGATACAGGAGATAGGCGCAGCGGAGGAGGTGCAGAGCGAGCTGATGCAACAGCTGAAGCAGAACAAGGCGGTCGCCGGGGCAGGGAAGATTTGGGAAGACCTATATAAGAGGAACTTCTATAGCTAATGAGGGTTATGCAAGTTGGTAACTTCTATAACTTCTATAGTTGGGTTTCTCTGCAAATTGGGTAATGTGGAAAGCCCTGGCTGCCACAAATAACTATCCACAATTAATCACAATTAAGTAATTTAATACATTGGGGGATGATGGTTACTACATGTTACTACTCACTTATGGTGATTCAATGATTTATATTGGGTACGCTGATGATGACTTAGATTTGCTGAAGATGAGTTTTAAGGAGACATCCCCGAACTAAATAAAGGTTTATAGAGTTTGAAAAAAGCTGGAACAATGATTTATAGTGGGATAATCCGGGATAGTTGCCAATTTACAATTGCCATCTGGGGATGGTGCAGATGGTGCAGATGGTCCCTAGGAACTTACATAGAGTATGGCCTCCTGCTAAAAGGGTAGTGATCTCTTGATATATCTTGACACAATATTTATTCTCAAGCCGACAGGTATGCTACTTTTCCCAATTGACAATTATGTCATTGATTAGGTGCTGTGGAAGTGATTGCTGCGGAGACAAAGAGGTTGGCACCTACCATGGTGATTGTTAGATGATCATCACTGTAGTTAAGATGATTTCATATGACATGATTGCTTCAAATCATTGTTGTTCTTTGGAGGCTTTTAACCACAAGCATTGCTAGATGCTTCTCGTGCTGTGTGTGAAAGGAGTACATTTCGCAGCAGCAAAATCATTAGATCTGTAAGGGTCCCATGTCTCAGCGATTCAGCGAAGTGTGCTGAGAACCAAATATGGCAATGTAATATCTACCATTTACCCTCTGGTAAACTAACATAGCTATTGAAAATGGCCATTTATAGTGGATTTACCCAGCTAGAAAATGGTGATTTTCCATAGCTATGTTAAATGACCAGAGGGTAGATCCATTTAGAGTATTTTCCCAAAATATGTTGCCAGCAGACACAGTGGTTTTCCAGTGATGTTGTACCATGATTAGTGCAACCATGATTAGTACACCCCTTGCCCCTCCCAAAACAATAGCTGGGGAGTCTTCAAAGCGTAATCTAGAAACAATGCCAGAAAATAAGGATCTGACAGAGAATCTAAGAAACATCTAATGAATTGCTATGTAGTATGTAGTATTACCCATGTATTATCCATGTTTGATGCTGAGGAATCCAGGTGGTTTTCTCCATTGGCGGATGGGTCCATGTGATGTGGTCAGGAGCACATCGAAAGCCTGCGACGTCAGATTAGTGTGCGCCGAAGCTGGGTGAAGAGCGGGAGATTTCATAGTTAGTTATTTGAGTTGGGTAAATCTGGGAAACATGATGGAAAAAATTCTTTATAGGGATTTCATGGTGATTTTTCATGTGATTTTCCATAGGGATTTCATTGGATTTCATGGTAACATGCAGTAACAGTTTTGTAGCATGTAGATCCATGTAGCAGAATGATACCAACAGAAACACTTGATAACACTTGTTTAATCGTATTTAGCGCACAATGACGATGACACTATGTTATACCTATCGGATAGGCAGCATACATTTTGCTGTGTTGTGGATCCTGAATGGCGACCTCACTGCGACCTTTGAAATGACTGATGTTAAGTATGGTGAACATTGGTGAACTTCCCCTCAAAAAAAATCCGATCAAATATGCCTTATTTATGATAAATTACTTTACTTCGTGTGATCCCCACCATGACATTTATACATCTTTCATATCTTCTGGCTATCTGGCATATCTTCTGGCATTCTTCTGGCATATCTTCTGGCATTCTATCTGGCAATCTTCTGGCATTCTATCTGGCATATCTTCGGGCTATCTCATATCTGGCATTCTATCTGGCATTCTATCTGGCATATCTTCTGGAATATCTTCTGGCATATCTATCTGGCATATCTTCTGGCATCTCTGGCATTCTATCTGGCATATCTTCTGGCATTCTATCTGACATTCTATTTGGCATTCTATCTGGCATATCTTCTGGCATATGATCTGGCATATCTTCTGGCATTCTATCTGGCAAATCTTCTGGCATTCTATCGGACATATCTTCTGGCATTTTATCTGGCATTCTATCTGGCATATCTTCTGGCATATGTTCTGGCATTCGTATCCTGGCATTCGTATCGGCAGATCGTCTGGCTTCTATCTGAACATAAGCTTCTGGCATATCTTCTGGCTTCTATCTGGCATATCTTCTGGCATATCTTCTCAAATTCTGGAAAATCTTCTGGCATTCTATCTGGCAATCTTCTGGCATTCTATCTGACATTCTATCTGCCATATCTATCTGGCATATCTCATGGCATTTTATCTGGCATATCTTCTGGCATTCTTCTTGACATTCTATCTTGGCATATCCTCCGGCATCGGGAACACATGAGGTCCGGCAGGGAACACTGGGCGTGGATGGTCGTGGTTGAGGTCCGGCAGGGAACACTGGGCGGGGATGGTCGTGGTTGAGGTCCGGCAGGGAACACTGGGCGTGGATGGTCGTGGTTGAGGTCCGACAGAGAACACTGTGCGTCGAGGGTCGCGGTTGAGCAGGAGGAGGGGGAGGAGGAGGAGGAGAGGAGAGGAGGAGAGGAGCAGGCAACTGACATAAAATCTAACAACCCTCACCTGGCAGCCGGCAGGTGGGGAATAAGGGATATTTGATCGGATTTTTTTTTGGAGGGTTCACCATACTTAACAGGATAATATCCTTATTTCAGTTTGGCAAATTATCATACTGTGCCCAGATACATAGCCCTGATTCCTGTCATATCAAAGACCTCGCCGAGGAAAGGAAGAAGAGCATCTTTATCAGACCTTGCAGCGAACAGAGAAGAAGTTGGCCACCCACCTGGCAACGGAGGACAGACCTGCTGGAACTAAACATGTGGGAAAGCCAGTGCCATAAACCTACCATGACTAAAAATGGTGGCATTGGGTCTACCAGGCAATATCTATGGGGAGTAACCTGAGTAACCATAGGAATTGTTGTTATTTTCCAATTTGTAAATCCATCGTTTGTGGAATCTGCAAGGAATATGTTCCGTTCCATTCCTGACAGCCTGGAAGCGATTTACATGACCAACGTGGAAAGAGATACCAGACTATGTATATGTATATATAAATATATATATAATCAATTATATATATGTATATAGATAGATATTTCAGGTGTACTTCTAGTTGCCTTACCAACTCTTGGTTTTTCCACTGAGATAATGAAAAAAAACTGAAAAGCATCGGGGACGCTGGAGCTGTGACCTGCTTTTGGAGCAGTAGTTTGTTGGGAGCAGAAACTGCTGAGCAGCTCAATTAGAATAGCATGATTTGCCACATGGTGGTTTCCTAAAATAGGGGTTCCTAAAATAAAAATTAGAACATGTTAGTATTGAAACCCATGATTTTGGGGTACCCCTTTTTGAGGTAACCTCCAGACACACATCATAAGATGGTTCCACATTTTGCTGAAGTGGATTAGCTGATAGCAGCTTGGCTGCCGGTGAAGGACGCAGTGAAACAACGATGCGAGGCAGGAGTGTCACTGTTGCTCATCCTCTCATGGAAATCCGCATCCCAAAACGAATTTATCATCCAAGACTGGTCACTTTATAATTTGTAATATCACTCATGGGATGATTATTAGATATCACTAATGGGATAATTTGTTGTTTATTGGAAGGTAGATCCTTTTTTTTTCCTTTGCAACCCAGTTTTCTGAAACAGAAACAACATTTGCCCTTTGCTAGCCTCTGGTATTATCCAGAATACCCGCATCTTTTTGAACTGAAAGTTGGATCCCCGTCGTCACATGATCGCAGCACATTTTTGTTGTTTCCATGACACGATCATATTACTATCATTCCAGATTATTCCCAACCTAATCGTGTAATGGAATAATCTGGAATGATAGTAATATGATCACTAATGGAATATAGTTACACTATTGTTATTCGATATCACTAATGGGATCATTATAGTGTAACAATGATAATGATAATATCAATATTGATATCATGTCCTATTTTATTCAAGTAAGTATAGTTCCCTGATATCAAAATAATTGTTACGATCATTCCATATTTTTCCAGTTCACATATTATGAGGATATATCATAATTCCATAGTGTTCCTATACCAATGCATACCAATGTTATATATATTACGTGTATATATATAACAACACAGTACTGGAATAGCATGTCATATTTATATTTATCATATTGCAGTATTCATATTACTAATTATCATTCCATCATATGTAGTATGACTGTGTCATGTTTGTATTAGTATCGCATTGTTCCAATTGACTATTCCCATAGCATCACCGGATGTCCATGGTCTCTTTTCAGGCATCGCAGGCTCTGGCCTTTGCCGTGGCGGACGTGGCCGAAACTCTCAAGGCACGCAGGGCCCTGCCGTGACGTTTTGTTGGGGTGGAAGGATGGATGGAAAATGACGGAAATGTGGGTTTCTCAAAATGGGGGATGGCCAATCAAAAAAATGCCCAAACCCTCCAGTACCCGCCAAAATAGAGGCAAAGATCCAAAATCATGATAAATCATGGGCATATTCTCCATTTTTCCAGGTACTTGGAGGGTCTAGGGTGAAGATACCAAAATGCTTGGCCCGTTGGCCGGAGGCCAAGCAGCCGGAGAATGGATCAGAAGCAGAGGCCCGACGTTGGATCGGGGAGATCCTAATTGGTTTGTCAATAGTCATGTTGAGAATGTAAGCATATTGATAATTTAATAATGTCAATAAGTTTCATGATATTCAATGATCAACAATTGATCGTAATGTTGATAGTGATATTTGTTGATAGTTTGATTTGTTTGCTAAGAATTATGTTGATGTGAATGATATGATTTCCAGTGCATGTTACTTGTAGTTATTGGATGTTATTGGTAATATTTATGATAGTTATGTCAATATTGATCCATATAATGATAGGTAATGATAATAATTATGATAATAATATACTAGTGATAATGATCATGATACTATTAATGATACCACGCAAAGTA